TGTACTGGGTTGGGACTCATAAATATACTCATCAATCGAGAGAGCATCCTGAATAACCCTATGATTCGCCCCAACATACCGACCCCTTGCCCTTACAGTAAGCGAGAACAGCCCTCCTGAAATCTGATTGGTACTTTTTTTCCACCAATTGAATGGCGAGCTTCTATTATTCTCTGACAAGATTGTTAAAGATCCATACATATACCCATCAATCAACAGAGCATCATCGATAACTCTATATTTCGCTCGAAGATGCCCATCGCCTGCTCTCACCATAACAGAGAAAAGCTCTCCCGAAATCTGATTGGTCCATTTTTTTCGGCCAATTAAATCGCGAGTTTGTACTTCTGAGTGTTGGGATGAACGGAACCCGTACATATACCCATGAATGGATAGAGCATCCTCGATAACCCTATGTTTCGTCCGAAGATGCGCATCGCCTGCCCTTATAATAAGCAAAAAAAGGCCTCCTGAAATTTGATTGGCCTAATTTTTTCATCAATGAAATAGCAAGCTTCTATTTCTCTGTGATTCGACTTATGGGGACCCATACATATACCCATTAATTGATAGAGCATTCTCGATAACCGTAGGATCCGCATGAACATGCCTATGTGTTGTTCTAATAGTAAGAGTGGAAGATCGTCCTGAAAGCTTCGCTGAAATCCGGCCGCTTCTGGTCACCGTTATGCTCGACCTGAGTAGCACTTCGTGTTCGAATTTGGTAGCAGATCATCACGTTAAGGAATGAAATAGTCCTAATTCAGGGAAGAAGGTTGATGCGCAAGAGTATTTTGGGACCCAAGGAATTCCTGCACATGGGGATTTCCGGAGGCACCAGTACAGCTAAGATGAAAATTTGAGTTTCCACGGTACCTTCCAGTAGTAAGACTCGGGGCTCAAGTATACTTCGCAGTAGTAAGACTTGAGAACCCAAGGATACTCTTCAATAGCAGGACTTGAGGACACTAGGTTACCCCCTATAGTAGCCCTTGATGGCCCCAGAGAACCTCCTACAGTAGACCTTGAGGATCCAAGGGCACTCCCCTATAGTAGCCCTTGAGGATCCAAGGGCACTCCCCTATAGTAGTCCTTGAGGATCCAAGGGCACTCCCCTATAGTAGTCCTTGAGGACCCAAAGGTACCCCTATAGTAGCCCTAGAGCACTTAAGGATACCC